AATTATGTGAAGCACCTTTTTTTTTTTTTTTTTTTAGTTTGCAACTAACAAGCGTCTTTTGGTTGCTCGTTCTCTTCAGACGAAGAAAGCGCCGAGGAACAGCTGGACGGGTGGGCCGATATTGAGGCAGTCTACGCGCCCACCAGCACACCGGCCGGTGAATCAGCTGCTGACAACCCGCCGGCGACAGTCCAGCGCGCAGCCACTGAATCATACGACGACGAGGATTCGGAGGACTCAGACCAGGATTGGATTCTACCTGGCTCTCGCAAGCGGAAAAGAAAGCGTTCATGTAAGGGAAGAGTCCACACGGCCCAACGAGCGAATTTTCAGAGCTTTCGCGTTTCTGGCTTGACACGAAATCCTTTTTTTATTTTTATTTATTTATTTATTTTTTTCACAGCGGCGAGTCGACGTTTGAAGACGTTTCAAAACAAAATTCAAAACATCCAGGAACACAATGCTGCCGAGGACAATCAGTCGTTACATCCATCACCAGACAAAGCGGCAATAGCCCGACAACTAAGCAACCGTAAATACAATCAGCAGATCAGTAAAAATGCGCTTAATCGCAGTATCGCGTCAGTCCCTATTGGCACTGCACCTACAGCAATACCTGGAACTGGAGAGGGACTAGTTGTTAAGAGCGAGTCACAGGATCCGAACCTACATTCGGTGCTTGACATCAAGGACGAGGGTCCGATTTACGATTCAGCCGCATCGAGCCAACCAAACGTCACTGTCGGCGTACAGCCGAACTATGTTGTTACCACAGGTCAATCACCAGTCGCTAATTATTATGTTATGCAGCAGAACCCCACAGCTGTCGTATCGCAGAGCCAGTACATTCAGTCAGCAGCTTATGTTCCCCAAATGGTACGTTAATTTGAAAAATCCATCGAATATCTTGGTAAACCGACGTTTATCATACATTTTCACCTTTCCATGCTTATGCAACAGATGCAAACTGTCCAGTCACAAGGGTACTATGTACAGTCTGCAAATCCTGCGCAGAACTACTTGGTCCAGGCACCATCACGGCCTGCTTACTTATCATCCACGACACCAGTAGTTTACCAACAAGTCGGTGGCCCCCAGCTCATCTCGACTCAACAACCAATGATTCGGGGAGCTCCAAATTACGTGCAATACGTTGGCGCTCCTATGCATCCCCAACAACAGCAGAGGTTAGCCCAGCCTAGGATTATCAACACGACAACCTTGTCGCCTGCGAGGCAAATTGCGTACGGTGCAAGAGCTCCGTTCTACAGGATGCCCGGTCCTGTGCCAATCGGTCAGAGGCCAAACTTTCCACACCCACCGAACGGAGCTGTTATTAGAAGCGCTCCGCTTTCTTCCAACGTCCTCAGGCCGGGCCAGAGAACTGGGCCGCCCAGAATTCCTGAACCTAGACAGGTATTTATACAAGTATTTAATATTCTGTCATTTTAATGCGTGCATAAGCGTGTGGTTAGGCGGGTCGAATGAAGTATAACAATGAAAATTCAATATCAGGTGTTGAGAATGCCAAACCCAGGCAGCAAGAAACCTGTGCCGGTGAAAGGTAACCTTGGTCGGGCTCAGAAAAATTCGTCACTGATAGTCTTAAGTGACAGCGATGACGATATCGAGATGATAATCCCAGGGGGGTCGACGTCAATGCTACAATCCAAACAAACAGCGCCTCCGCCCAAAAAAAGTGCCATTCCGCCAGAGCTTCTCGAGCGCATGAACGAGGGTGGCATCTCCCTCAGTCCAATAAAACCCGCTCCACAACCGGCGCAGCAATCCAACAGTTCGACGCAGCTGGTCGTCGTTGTCAACGAGACTGGCAGTCATTATGCGCTTGTTTTACCAAACGGCAGTAAATTGATTTTGACGCCCGATCAGGTGGCCCAGCTCCGAGCCGCTAATGGTGGCAAACTCGTTTTGTGAAACTGCGCGCATCAGCCCTGCTTGTTGGTCAGCTCTGCAGGTGATAGGCTTTTGTTGCTTTAAAGTTATACGAAACAATGATTGAGCTCTTCAATGATGACTGCGAGATCAGTTATTGTTGTGTTTTTCCTTTGGTTTCTCATTTGAACGTTTTTCTAGTATTTTCCACGATACTGAAAAACGAGAAATACTTTCATTTTTCGAAAAAATTTACTTGAGATCGAATTACAAAATTATCACGAAAACTTGCGTTTTATTTTTCAAATATTTTGATTTAAATGCACGAAAAGTACACGCACTTTTAAGCTTCAAAACCTCATTTCTATCATTAAAATGCGCTTGTGTTTAGAGTTTGTGGTACTAACCAGAATAGTTCCATGCAATGGACATACTGATACTCTTAGTAAAGGACTGATATAGACTGGTTTCATTTTCATTTTATTCCAATTTTTATATTTTTGTCATGTTAATATATTTTTATGGAAAATAGTTTAATGATGTTATTTTTCATTACAATGAAATATTTTAAAATAATGTACATAAAAAATACATGCTTGAATATGATTATGGGGTACTGCTGCAAGAGTTTTTATTGAAGTAAATAATTACAATTACAGAAATGTGATGATTAAATAGCTTTAAGCATATCCATATGGTAAAATATACATCAATATGATATTTTAAATAAGAATGTAAAAATGTATATTTACCTGGTTGGCTCGAAATAACGTCCTGCGCCAAATGTACTTTTTAATAAAAGAAAATTACAACCAAGATAAGCAGATGTAACAGACTGCAAAGATGTCCTTGATAAATAAGACTAGAACAGTGTTTGTGTAACTAGTAATATTACAAGACTTCAATTTCCGAATTACATTGTTAATATTTTGATTTACAGATAAAAGAGAAAAATTACTTATAATGTGTACGTATGGATTTTTACACTGCTTATTATTTCATTATATAATGTATTGTTTTTTTGTGTAGTAATACAGTCAACAGGTTTTTGCGAGAATACAAGAAAAAAAATCTTCAGAATTGAGTAAAAAGATTTTCTAAAAACAAAAAAACAAGAGTAACGTGATAACCACCGTCTTGGGCTCCACCTCCCTCCCTCTGCGCTCTCTCTAACCCTGGTGCCTGCGGTGGCCGGTTCCCCGCTTTTCTGGTGGCGTGTGGTGTCAGTGATCTCGACACGATTCGGAAAATCGTTTTTCGCAAAATAACGAACGATTAAAATTATAAAAAATTGGGGAATATTTGGTATTTTCTTTGTATTCCCGCAAGTGGCAAAGATGGTTCGCATATTAAATTTGTCACATTTTTTAATGTGTTCATGAATTCCACTACTTTTTTACATAATATATCTTATTTTGTGAGCATAAAAATGTTGAGCACCAATGCAACAATTTTCTTTAAATGTATGTTCGATCACCAATTATTGTAATTTTGTGATGTTATAAATTATTTACCATTCTGTTTAAAGCTAATGTACTGCCTTATTATTGCATTTGTCCAAACTCCTCTCTTTCATTCATTTTCGTCTTGTAAGGGATGAAAATTCACTCAACAATAAAATCATTATTTTTTTGTTAATAGTTTAATGTATTTGTAAAAATATTTAATATTACAACAAGTTAAAGAAACGACGTTTCTTTAATGGATATGTACACAAAAAAATAATCTGCATTTAAAAACAAGAATAGTTAAACAGGATGCATTGCTCTGAGAAAAACAATCATAGCATTAATAGAGTTATCATCACTTGTCAATTAATTTTATCCCACCAAAAGTTCAAATTTCTTTTAATACGAAAGTAGGAATATTTTATCACGTTAGAAAGCGATGAGATGGTAACTATAATTATGTGAAGCCCCTTTTTTTTTTTTTTTTTTTTTAGTTTGCAACTAACAAGCGTCTTTTGGTTGCTCGAATCAAAAATTTAATTTTTAACTTTTCTTAGTTTTTTTAATGAAAAACTCCTTGTTGGAAAATTTTTCCAAATGGCTGGCGTCGTATGGGTTGTCACTGCCTGGAGGATGGAGTCTTATCTGGAAAAACCCAATTCTATTAATTAAAGAGAAAGTTTTTCGTCTCTTGTAGACTGTTGTTTCTATCCTAAAAGTACTTTGTTTATGAAAATTACATACCTATTTTCGTTGATTTTTTGGTTGGAAATAAATTTTTTTTATACATAAAGAAAGAAAACAACTAAAACTTGCAAGGTACGATTTTTTTAAAAGTGAGAAACCATTTCGAAGAAATAGTTTTACCAAAAAAAAAAAAAACATTGAGAAATTTTTTAATTTCTAAATACGTAACATACAACAAAACAGTGTCATGATCAATGCGACTTAAAATAATTTTTTACTAAAAATTAACCAACTTTGCGTTTTAAATGAATAATTACGTGTTTAGTTAAGCTCAAGTTTGTAAGTATATATATTATGCTCCAGCACCACACATTAGTAGATATATTATTATATTGAATTTAATAATCCAAAGGGAGTACATGGAGAGTTAAATAATATTTATTGTTGAAAAAACATTTGATTTTTATCGGTACTTTTAAACGTAACATATTTAAAATTACTGTATGTAAATAAAAGCCATACATAAGTATTTCGCGATGACGAGAATTTAATTAAAAACTTGTTATCCAAACTAATTTGAAACGAATAAATTATATATGTACAAAAAAAAAAAATTAAATCTATATAGTACCAGATCAACAATCAAATTTTTCACTCGCAAAAAACAAATAAACTCGAGAGAAAAAAAAAAAAAAAAAAATTAAATTCTCGTCATCTGTACATTGAACGTGTATGTAATAATAGTATTTACCAAAATCTAAATAATAATAATACGTTAAATACAAGCTAGTGAGTCCTCGATAATTCATCTCCTATGAAGTAATCATTTTCTAAACGTGCACCAAAACAAATAATTTCGCGTGTTTTCATGCATAAAAAAATTCAACTAAACAATTAAATTAAAATAAAATCCATAATCACCAATGACTCTTTGATCAAACGAAATTCCAGAGGAGTAATATACGTGTTAATAAATATATTATATACGTGATAGTTCGTGTCCAAAGTATAATAAACAGGAAGACAGCACAATCGTGAAATAAAGAGAAAATAATAAACAAAAAATTAATCTTATTTATGATTGGTGGTAACAGAGGAACAAAGGCGGGGGGGGGGTGAGGAGTGGATGTATCTGCGATCGGGGAGAAAAGGCTGCGGCGTGTCCCAAGCAGAAAAAGAGAGCGAGCGAGCCTATTCGGTGTATTCGTTGTCGACCGGCAATTGATCGCCCTCCGCGTTCTTCAGTCGTTTCTGCAATCAAGATAGACAACAACATGACAATGCCCGACCTGCACCTCCAGCAGCTAAGGCTCTCGTGTTTTTTCGATTGTTCAAAAAAAAAAAACACGATTGTTAATCATACACTTGGGCCATTCCACGAATTTTCTTCCAAAATGACATATACATTATTTCTAACGTATAAAGAAAAGTTGCTAAAATTTTCTTTAAAAGGTAATTTATCTTGAAATGGCCCGTTCGTTACATACACAGACTTGGGCACAATTATTTTATGGACTTTTAAACAACTGGGGAGAAAATGGTTTTCCCCCGTATCGATCAAATAACAGCTTTTTTTTAGCTAAAAAAAAAAAAAATTTGATAAAGTATTCGTGCCCAAGTCTGTATATATACACAAAGCTTTGCTTCGATAAAAAATTTATCGTACGTGGTAAGGGTTTTAGGTATGCCTATAGGCGTTAATACTATTCCGTGCTAAATCATATAAAGCTACAAATGATGATCCGTATGGAGAGCAGCAAGTATGATTATGATGTATCGATTGTAACTTTTCGTGGGGGGGAAAAAAAAAAAATCTTCGCGAAATAAAAAATTCTTTCGATGCTCCACCGTAATAATATATGCCACTGTAAGCCAAGCATTTTGTTAATATGATTTTCATCCTCCGTATCAACAAAGCTTTCTTTTTTTCCTCGCTCTCATTGCGATCGCAACAAATCTCAACCGATATCTATATATACCATACATCTCGTATTTTTATTAAATAAAAAAAAAAAAAACATGCTCTCTTACCATGATCCTGCGCTTCTCCTGGCAAGCGTAGTCGCTTTCGTCAACGTCGTTGTAGCAATCACTTTTGTAGTCTTTGGGTATGGGGCCGCCCTCGAATTGGCAGAGCTTCGACAGCGGCTTGGCCTTGACGATCATCTTGTCGAGCCGCGTGGGCTTGTGAGGCGGACAGTAAAACACGTCCGGCGTGTTCTTGTCGTAAACTATGCTCTTGCGCAACATGTCGCCCGCATCTGCCGTTATCAGCAGCGTCTGCCGTTTGTTTATTTTATGCTTTTTTTTT